AACAAGACGTTCATCCTTCGAGATGATATTCAACTTATTTTCTTTGGATTTGACAAGAAAGGAAGTAATATTAATAAAACATTCCAAGAGATGGTAGAATTACTTGGAGAGCCTTACAGAAGACTAATCATAACTCCAGAGGATTATCCATATCATAACTTATCAAGAAAGATCGGATATCATCAAAATGCATCTGAAGAAGATGAAAAGTATCTTGATAACCAAATGACCAATTCTGACACTTCTCTTCTTGGAAAAGTTCCAATTAATAAAACAGGAAAGATGAGAACAACTCCAATGAGTGATCACGAACAGCATGTTCGTATGGAATAAATCCATTTATTTACTACTTAAAAATTCTTTTTCTGTTTTCTTGTTTTAGATTATGAAAATAATAAAATCATCAATCAAAAAATCAATTTGTTCATGCTGATTGGAATTCACCTAAACACTTAGTAAAGAAATATTCTCTGTGTCTAAATCTTAATACACAATTGATGAAATCGCACCTATGTCTAGAGTGTGAATGTTTAACTGATGTAAACAGACAAATCATTACTGAGTCATTTTCTTGTTCTTCAGAACTTTCATCGTCTGATAATGAGCCACTATCATCATCATCATCCTCACTCTCAACATTTTCAATGACAGGTGGGATAGTTGCTACTGGTTGTTGAATAATTGGCTCTGTAATAGTTATAGGCATTATTGGTTTTTCTTCTTGTTGGACAAAAGAGCCATGATATGGGTCATTTGTTGTTCTATCACCTGAAAGAAGTGGGAAGCTATGTTGAGGATGTGTAATTGAAAATTGTTGATTTTGTAAACTTTGAACGTGTTGTGTGTATAAGTCATTAGACCCATATTGGTCTAATGGTTGTTGGTATTGAGCTTCTTCTGTTTCATCGTCGCTCTGATTTTCAAGTTCTTCACATTGACTTTTCCATAGCTATATTATCTTTAAATATAGTTCTTCCCTTTGTATTAAAAAACAAACTCTTTTAAATGTATCAATTTGTTCAACATCAAAACCATGTGCTTTTAATCGTTCTTCCATTCGGCTCATTACTTTCTCAATTACTGTATCATAAAATTCATGTGCAGGACTAATAGACATTGGTATTGAACGCTGTTGATAACTCATTTGTTTATGGCTAAACATGAGTAAATTTTGTTTTTCCTTTTTTTGAGATTTAGGGTTTTTATAGCTATTCTATTTTTATACTCATTCATTTTTCTTTTTTAGTGAATCTTTTTAAAGTTTTTATTGCTTTCTATTCTTAAAAAAGTAAAAATTTTCTTATCAACAATAAACTATAGAATGTACAATATCCATACACATATTTTGTTTACAAGAAAAATGCCAATTCCAAGAAAATTAACATTCAAAAACATAATGTATATTTAAATCGTATTAAAATAAAATCTAATTATAATATATTTATAGAAATATCTTTTTATGTTAATAGTAATCAATCTAACTAATTAGTATTAAACAACCAAACTTTCAGAAATGATGCTGTGGCACATGAAACTATAGTACGTTTAGTGGTCTGTTTCATTTGTATTAATATTTTTTTACATTATTTTTTTTTGTTCAGTATTGTTAGAGATTAAAGAATAAATTTTTTACAGTTTTAACTTATATATTATTCGATTCAATAAGTGTTTTCAGTTATTACTGGATATAAAGAAACAAAAAATAAAGTTAGTTGTGAAAATTATTTAATTAAAACAATATAGATATATAAATATTTATATTGAAGATGAAGAAATTTTAAGTATTAGAATTGAAGTTAGTGTTTTTTTGATTATATTAATCCATTAGTTTTAATGCACAGAATAATTTATAGTGATCTAGACTAAAACATTAAGAGTATTTGAATAATCTTTCTTCTTTTATAATAGATTAATTGTTTAATATTTGTTATTTGATTATTTAGACATAAAAAAGTTATTTATAGAATAGTTTTGAAACGTGTTAATATGTTAGATGAAATTGAATGTTCATTGTTACGTTTCTCTAATATGTGAATGAATTACAAAGAAGTATAGAAAGTACAATTAATACTTGTAGACATAATTTTTTTGATAAATTCATAATAGTAAACTGAAGTTGAATTAAAAACAAAAACCTTAAAATTTTAAATTCTTTATGGTTTATTAGAATTAGTTTATGTTCTGTTTTATTTATAAAAATAAGAGTGTTATTCTTTATCTATAAACTGTAAAATTAGAAGTATTGCTATTTTTATTATTCTTTATTAACTGTCATAAATATATGTCATTATTAATATATTGACAATATACTTTTGTTCATCATCACAATTATTCTTCTATAATATTTGTGTCAAAAACTATAACGCTTTCCATGATTCAAAAGAATAAATGTACGACACAATGCCTTCTTCTAACCAACAATAAGTATAATTGAAAGGGAGTAATTAAATAAGAAAAAAAAAATAGAAAGATAGTATTTATTTAATTTATTAATTTATTAACTAACAAATGAGTCAAACAAATAACAAAGAACTAAAATGAAAGGTCAAAAATTTAATTAAAAGAATAAGAAAAGACTGTTTCATCTCATAAAAAAAGGAAAATAACGATTTGTTTTTATGCGTGGCAATGAATAAATATGTGTTATTTTTAGTAAACCAAAAAAGAAACAATCAATTTTTTTTTAAGAATCGAAATTAACTATTAAAGAATAGTTTTTGTGTAATAATAATTATTTTAAGATATACCCTATTTGAAATTCAACGTTGTAGAAAAAACTTTTCATAGTAATATGAAAGAAAAAGATTGGCTTGTCTCTTCGAAAAAAAAAGATATAACATCACCAGAACTAAAAATCTAAATAATTTCAACTCCCTTATGAGAGTAAATACCATTTTAGTTTTTATTTTAGTTGGTCTAACTCTTGGAAAGAAGGCTTGGATTGTTACTGACACTCACTTTGATGATTTGTATGCTGAAGGTAGTGCTGCTAAATGTTATACTGTCGATTGTTGCCATTCAGACTCAGTTCCAAGAAAGCATACTGAAGATGACACTGCTGGAAGATGTGGTAATTTTAATTGTTACCCTCCTTTAGACACAGTCACTTCATCATTAGACTATATTCGAGAACATAAATCTGAAAGTAACACTGTATTTTGGTTAATGGATGCTGTTCCTGGAGATGTTTTAAATCAATCAAATGCTATTAATCAAAATAGAATAAAGATGATGGCTGACCAGTTCAAGAAAAAACTTCCTGGATTTAATGTTTATCCAGTACCAGGAAATCATGATTACTTCCTTTCCAGTGAATGGGAATATCCACCTAAATGTCAATGGATGTTAGAATTTATGAATGAACAATTTAAAAATTGGTTATCTCCTCAAGCACAAGAAACCTTTAAAAAAGGAGGATATTATTCTGAGTTGATTGATTCAGGAATTCGTTTAGTTGCTTTAAATCTTGTTTATGTTGATAAATTTAGTATTCATTCAAAGAAATATAATGAACAAGACCCAGGAGATATGGTTGCCTGGTTTAATAAAACACTAAAACAATCAAAAGCTAATGGTGAAAAAGTTATTATTATTTCACATGAAGGAATTGGATTAAAGTCAAGTGGTCAGTTTGATTTAGAACCAGCATTTAATAATGACTTTACTTCATTAATGAAAGATTATAGTGATATTATTATTACTCATTTTGCTGGTCATTCTCATTACCAATCATTCAGAATTCTTCCTAATATTGAGAATCCATTTTATCATGTCATTCTTAATCCTGCTGTTACAACTTGGGGTAAAATTAATCCAAAATTTAGATTAGTTGAATTTGATCGAGCATCAGTTAAAGATTATACTACATTTGTTTTAGATATCAATGAATGTAATGCTGGTTCTTCAGGATATCCATGGAAGAAAGAACATAGTTTTAAAGAAACTTATGGAATAAATGATATGAGTACTGAAGGATTAAAAGAACTTTATAATAAATTACAGAATGACGATGCTTTATGGAGAACATTTATGCAATATTTTAAAGACTCAAGTTATAATACTTGTGATGGTAAATGTAAAAAAGGTCTTTTATGTGCTTTATCTCATTTGACAGAAGCAGAATATAAAGAATGCACTAAATAATTCAATTAAATTTTTAATTTTCTAATTTGTCCATTCATATTGGCTTTCAATAAAGTCATCTTTAGTAAAAAAATACATACATAACGCAATTACCATTTCAAAAACACATAGAAAACTACACCGTATTGCATTATGTTTAAAAAATGAGTTTAATGGATGAACTAATCTTTCAAAACATGTTGTACTTGTCTTTGGAATAGCACCACAATTATCAACATTTGATGCTAACCATCCACAACAATGATGTTTAAATTCAACTTGAACTAAATTATTTGGTGATATTAATCCATGGCTAGTTATATATCGTTGAGAATTAATTGATAATAATGCTACCATTAAGTAAAGAATAATTGGAATAAAACTACATTTAATTCCTAACATTTTATTATCTAATGATGTTGCAATTAATCTAATACATGCAAATATTAAACCAGTTATTGTTGCAACAACAATAAATGCACATTCATTAAAATAAAAGTCATGATAATATAAGTCTTGTAAAATTGGTAATAAAATAGCATATACTAAATAAAATAAACTCATTATTATAGAAATAATTTCTCCAATAAATAATATTTTATCTCTTTGGTTTCCTTGTTTATATCTATCAATAACTGTTTCAATGAATTGAATAACAATAGACTCATTCTGAAATACGTTCATTTTATATTTATAAGTTCATTTTATTTAAGTTTTATTTAATCCCACAAATTTAAATAACACAAAACTATCAACCCTAAACTTTTTTTATTGAGACAAGAAAAGGGAATTTTTGGACTTTCTCTTGTGACATTTTGACAATAGTCTTTTCTATTCAAAATATTTTTGTTGATCTAAGTCTTCATTGTCATATTTCAATGTTTAGTGAAAATTCATCATTACCTCAATCACCAGGATGTGCTTCTAAAATTACTAGACTCAGTGCTCTTAGTTGTTTTGCTTTTTCTGGTATTATTTTCTGTATCTTAAGTATAGTACTAGCATTATTTCCATTAAATCCTATCATTCAAAAATGGTACTTACCTATTCCTCAAGCAATTAATTCGATAGTAACAGATGCACATGTAATTTACCCAACAATAAAAGATATTCAAATGTTATCAAAAACAGTTATTCGTGGTGATGTTTTCTTCCAATTTGGGTTTGAAGAATTTAACAAGACTCTTGCTTTTGGGAATGTTATTATTGATAACCAAATTGATCCTATATTAAATCTTACAAACTCAACTATTTCTGGTATGACTGATTTTGTTAATGGAATTGCTGATTTCTTACATAAATTTCATATAAATTTTAATTTGACATTTGTACAGAATTTAAATATTATGAATAATATTTTACAAGAAGTTCCTTCTCAATTATCTCAAATGCAAATTCAAATGGAAAAAGCATCTATTGCAGGTGCTGCTTTAGGACAAGCAGTAGATATTATTGGAATGAGATTTGATAAATTTCATTCAGTTTGTGAAAATTTAACTTTAGTTGTAGATGATGTTTTCACAAATGTGGATATTATAATGAATCAATTAGATCAATTAGATCATTCTATTCCTACAATAATTATAATAACAAAATTAGTTGGTTGTTTTTTATTTGCATGGTTATCATTTATATCAATTATTTTATTCATATTTATTCTCTAATTGATAATATTCTTTTATTCTTATTAAGTTTGTTTTATATATTAAAGGTAAATATATTGTTAATATCTAAAATTCAATTAAAATAACAATTCATATCATTTATGAATTGTTGAGTTGCAAAAGAAAATGTTGGTAAATCTATTGCATTGGCAAATAATTGGGTTGTATCATTTTTTTGTTGTTCAGTTAGTTGTGGATGTTGTTGGAAGAATGAATGAAGAACAATATTAAATGATTGTAATAATGAAGGAGCATCAGCATCAAGAATATTATATAATAAATCAATAGTTTCTTCTTGTGAATGTTCATTTTTAATTAAAACATTTAACAATTGAATACAAAAAGTAACAGTATTAGCTTTAAATGTAGGATGAATGAATAGTTTTTTATTCATATTTAATTCAAGAACATTCTCAATTATTAATTTCACCAATTCAATATCTGGTAATGAAAATCCTTGTAATATCATTTGATTTATCATTCCAAAGAATTGATAATTCTTTGATAATTCTTCAAAATAAACATCACAAATACGGAAAAATAATAAATATCCTTCTCTAAAAATTGAGTTACCAATTGTTTTAATATTCATATTATTTACTATATCAACTGTTATTAATGAATAAGATTTCATAAGAATAGAAATATATAATGTATTTGATTTATTCTTATTTCTATATCTCCATTCTTTAACAAAGAAACATAATATTTTAATAAATAAACTTAATGATGAATTGCTATGTCTTTCATTTTCCTCAATTATCATTGAAATTTTACCATTAAAAATTTTAAATAATATTTCTATAAAATTACCTACACTTTGTTCATCCATAGCACTATGTAATTGAGTTAGTATATTATAATATAATGTTAATGTATAATGTAATAATTCAATATTCATTACAGGAAGTGTTTTTGGTAAAATATCATTCATTAAAGGATTTAATGGTAATAAAATCATTTGTTTATTCAAATTATTGAGGTCTTCTTTATTTTTAACAATCATTTGAATTGTTTTACAAAGGTCTCGATAATTATTAAATGTATTTGTTTGGAAACATTGCACTATTGGTTGAATAACATTTTCTTCAATAAGAAGTTTATACCCAGTTGCATTTTGTTCATAATTAGCTTGTTTAAAAATGCTATCAGGCATAGGTAATACTATAATATCACTCATTCCAGATATAACATATTTTCTTAACACCATTGGGAATTTATTAATAAATGATGTACCATTTCTTAATATTTCTTGAACAATTGGAATTTGGTATATCTCAGGTCTACATGCAAGTATTAATTCAAACAATAAATCTATTACTTTACTTGATACTTCAGTATTACTACATGCTGTTGCAATTTGAATAAATTGAATTATTAATTGGTTAATATATTGATTAGTTATCTGTGACTCATATTCATGTAAGCATGAGAAAAGAGTTCTTATTGCTGAATTTAATTTAATTACAACAGTACCTGCATCATTATTAGTTATTTGAGGAAGGATATTTAATATTTTAAACAATGGAGAATACATACTTTGAAGTTGTTCTAGATTCTCTATTTTATAAATTAGATTAGAATGTATTTCTAAAAATAAGTTACAAGTAGTTGCAATATCACATACATCACCTTCTGTATATAATTGTGGCTGTTTACTCATTATTATTTCAAATGAATGATTCATTGCTTCTAATATCAATGGTAGAACATATTGTCCTTGAAAATCAATTAAACTCATTAAAACTTGATATGCACTAAATATAAATACTTCAAATTCACTTTGTTCATCTCCTACTTTAGAAGTATCTAATAATTCAATTTGACTATATGTAGAACAAAATAATAGTGGTAATATTGTTTTACAACACTCTTGTGCTATTGGACCAAATTCATCTGCAACACATAAAGAATCCGCAATAGATGAATCAAAAAGTGCTCCCCATGCTTCAAACCACATAGAAACAGTTGTAAAATCATTTGTATGTGAAACAATGAAACTATTTAATGTTCTCGGTATTTCTAATAAAGAATCATCAAATGGAATTCTTGGAACACATACAGAAAATGTTTTCATTAGAAGATATAAAGCTGGTTGTGCTGGAACATCAGGTTGTTTTAAAAGATTTAATATTAATGCCATAACTGATATATGAAATTGTGGATTTGATGGTATTTTATTTGTTTGGAGATATTCTGTAAGACAATCTAATGATGGTTTTATCATTGATGGTGTCACAATTGTTTTCTCTAAAACCACAAAGAAATTAGATGCTATTAAAATATCTGTAGATACCCATCCAACATATTTACTCAATGAAACTAATGCATCTACTCTATTTTGAATAACCAAATTCACTAAAACCTTTACTACATCATTAGCTTCTTGTTCAAATGTAGTTTTAATCCATTGAATACGTTTACTAGGAACATGGTATTTTTTTGCAACAGTTCTATACTCTTCAGCAATAAATGAATATAATAAAATAGCTATTCCAATTGTTGCTTCATTATGAATGAAATTAGCAATATCTGAACATATAGTTTTTCCATTAAATGTCCATCTACTAACAGCACATAATAATACTGCAATTTTATTTGATGCCTCCCTACTTCCTATTGAATAATAATATTCTAATGTCTCTAATAATTTATTTTGCATTTGTTCTAAAGGTAGTTGTTGTGGTTTCATACAAACCCAATGATCAATTACAGTCAAACTAAACCAAGAAAATACTTTATCTTCATTTTTAATATTATTCATTGCCCAATTTAATCCATCAGTAGAACTAATGAAGTTATTGATGGTTTGTTGATTATTTTGAATGTTTCTTCCTTTAAAAAAATCTCTTATTATTTCCTCCATAATTTTTTTATTTGAAAAATAAGTTCTTTTTTAAGGGTTTGAAAAATTAAAACAAAAAAATTCATTTTTGTTATATAAAACGTAAAAAATTAAATTAATTACAACTTGGTAATGAAGATGGTGTTGATATTCTTATATCTTCTCCATATCGGTTTAATAATTTTTTAACAACTTCTCCAAAAGATTTATATCCTTTTTCTTCTTGAATAGCTTTAAGTTCTTTAAAGACTTGATGTGATACTCTGATTTTTGGATATCGTTGTTCTGGTTTGAGTTCTTTCAATTTTTGTGTTTCTCTTTTTCTTTCATTAAGTAGTTTTTCTTGTTCATCAATACAATTAAAGAATTGTTTAGTTATATGTTTATCATTTGTGTATGTTGGATGTACATAATATGTTGGATAGTCAACAAATGGATGGTGTGGTAATGAATGCATAATTGTTTTAGACTATTTCTCATAGTTTATTTTTTTGTTTAAATAAGGATTATCAAGTAAATTTCCAGCTACTAAATGTGGCAAATTATTTTTAAATTACTATTTGTTAAAAATAAAAGATAACCCAAAAATAACACATGACTTCTAAAACTTTGATTTGAACTTCCGAAAATGGTTAAAAGAGACAAAAAGAAATTTTCCCTCTGGTCCACTCTTTGTTATTCTATAATTCCAATACTTCCATTTTCATTTATTTTTTTATTTGGCTGTCTGTTCATATAAACAAAAATAGAATATATCTTAAATAACACTATACGTTCATTCTTTTTATATTTTTACTTTAAAATTAAATGAAATTACTCATTATGAAAGAAAAAAGTAAATTCTTTTTGTAGTTGAGTGAAATAATTTAAAGATTCCAGTATTGATCATCACGAGTTGAGGTATATGGATATTCAATCAAATTAACACTATGCTCTCCACATATTGGACATTCAGTGGCATAACAATTAAATTGTTCTTCTTCATCTTTAGCAAACATAATAGACTGGGTAACAGAACGAGCAAAAGGAGTAGGGTGTTGAGCAAACTCTTTTTTAATACAAAGAATATGGAAACAATGGGAACATGGGAACATAGCACCTCTAGACTGATCAATTGAACCATTTTTAAATTGATTAAAAATTGGTTCACCACAGAAATTACATCTCAATAGATTTAATTCTGTTTTAAAGTATTTCTTATGACGAGCAGTAGAGTTTTCAAAAAGGGCACTAGATCCACAAGATGTTTCAATTTCATTATTTAGTCTTTTTTGTTTTTTATCTTGGGTATCAACTGCATTCTTGATAACACCTTTAAACTCACCCAATTCCCAATCTAAAGGTAATAATGGTAATATCTCTTCTATTGGTATTTTATTTTTTGTTATTGTTTCATAAATTTTCTTTCTTTTGATTGCTTCATGTTCGGAAGATGATGTAATTAAAGATAAATATCCATTCATAGCTTTAAGATAATAATATTGTTTTTCATCTTCTCCTTTTATTTTAGATGGTAATTTAAGTAATAATGAAACATCTTCTTCAAATCGATCCATTTTATCTTCATAATTATAAGTTTGAAGTAACTTAATTCCATCATCAATTGCAGCTTCAAATCGTTGTTTTTGAAGATTCATAAACATAGATGATCGTGTCATCTCTTTATTCTTCAAAGCTCTAAGTGCACTATCATATTCAACTAATTTCCAATGTTCTTTTTCCTCTAAGAATGTTTTGATTATATCATCTTCAACTATACTTTCAGGTTCAACATACTTCCAAAAAATAAATTCAACAAGTGCTTTATCACTTCCATGTTTCTTTACAATTTCCTTTTTACTTAATAATTGATTAGCAAATTTTAAAGAGAAAGTTTGATCTTCATAAATAAGAAGTGTTGAATAGAAAATAGGATAATTGCTAGTATCTCTTTCTTCTAAAAATTCAATAAATTCTTGTGGTAATTTAATAAATAAAATACCAAAATATTTCTTCATTAACTCCTCTCCAATGTCTTTATCTCGTTTATTCATACATAAATTCTTTAAAAATTTGAAAGCTTCTTCATACATACTTCTTTCCATTAACCAACTTACTTTACCTTCATAATCTCTTGTACAATCACAATAAGTTGAATATGCTTCTTCTGAACCAC